AGATTGATTAATTGATTACTGATGAAAATATATCAAATGATTATGGGCTCTGATAAGTTGAAGTGTGTAGGACAGGCCAGCAGGCTGGGAACTCTGGCAGGATTTCTACATTATAGACATGAGATAGAGTTTCTTCATCTCCCAGAAACCTTGGTTTATATGTTCTAAGTTCCTCAACTGATTGGATGAGGCCCATCCACATTATCAAGGGTAATGTCCTTTCCTTAGAGTCAACTGATTACAGATGTTAACCACATCTACAGAAGCCCTTCACAGCAACATTCACGCTAGTTTTTGACCATGCAGCTGGTCACCATAGCCTGGCCATGTTGACATACAAAGTTCCCCAATGTTGTTGCTGTGTGTCATCAAGTCAGTTCTGACTCAAAGCACGCCATGTGACAGAGCAGAACTGCCCCAGAAGGTGTCCAAGGCTGTAACCTTTACTGAGCAGATCATCATCTCATGCGCAGGGATCACCAGGTCATTGTTAAATGAGGCCTTTTATATTATCACGCACCCTGGATGCATAAAAGTCAGAAAGACAGAGCGGCCAGGTAATACCTGGCTGAGGGCGCTGTAACCCTCCAGCCTGAAGCAGTAGGGGTGGCGTGGTGGCTGCAGGAAGGAGAGGAAGGCAGACATCTGAAAGACACTTGGGAAAAATATCTGGCAGAATTTTGAAGAGGGATGGAGTATGAGGGGCCGAGGAATTAAAACCCCCTTTCGAAGATGACTTACCTGGCCACGTAAGTACAGGGCATGTTCTCCTTCTGCTTCCCCCCACATCTTCCCCTTCTTCTCTGTCCCTACTTCCTAAGTCATTGAGGAAGAAATGACAGAAATTCCCAGCAAGAATGATTTCACTGACTAAATGTTGAGTCATGTGAGCTAAGTAATGAAGTGGAGAGCAAAGGCAGTAAATACCATTCAGGTACTAATTGCCTTCAGCGTCTTTCTCTTGAGGCATATCATGTGCATTCTTGTCCGGAGTATAATATGATTCATGGTCCTCTCCAGCCATTGACTGGAAAGAGAGAGTCCAGCCCATTCATCCATCCTGGCACTCCAGTATGATACCACTGGGAAGCCAAACTTTCAAATGACATTGGATTTTTAAAGTTTTCTTTATTTATTTTTATTAAACAAAATCAAAAAATACTACACAAACCAAACCCTCTGCCATCAAGTCAATTCCAACTCATAGCGACCCTATAGGACAGGAGAGAACTGCACCGTAGGGTTTCCAAAGCTGGAATCTTTATGGAAACAGACTGCCTCATCTTTCTCTCGTGGAATAACTTTCGGTTAGCAGGCAAACACTTAACCACTGTACCACCAGGGCTCCTGCAGGATAATATATACAGAAATAAACTTACAGCTATTGAGTCAGTTCTGACTCATAGCAACCCCCATTGGGTTTCCAAGGCTGTAAATCTCTACAGAAGCAGAGTGCCTCATCTTCCTTCTGTGGAGGGACTAGTGGGCTTGAACTAGTGACCTACTGGTTAAGGAGCCAAATGCCTTAACCACTACACCACCAGAGCTCCTAAGAGATAATATAGACCCTGTTAGAAAAAATAAACAATACAGAAATATATATATACCAATATGTAAGCAATTCTTCTCATCTCCATTTCAGTAGCAATAATTTGGTATATATTCCATGTGTTTTCATACATACATGCACACAACCACACATCAACCCCCTTTTTTTTTTAAAACATAAATGTTGTTGTTGTTGTTAAGTGCCATCAAGTTGGACCCGACTCATAGTGACCCCTCCTTGGGTTACCGAGGCAGTGTTACTACGGAAGTAGATTGCCCAACCTTCCTTCCGAGGAGTGGCTGGTGGGTTTGAACCGCCAGCCTTCTGGTTAGCAGTCGAGTGCCTTAGGCACTATGCTACCAGAGCTCCCTTTAAACATAAATAGGAAATGTTTTTCCTTTTTCTTATACGTGTTTTTCTTGAAGAGCTGCCCCTTTTGTGTTAAAGGCACACGAGTGCCATGGCATTGTGTATGTTGCCGTAGCCAGTCTGAGCTTGCTCTCAGCTTAGCAAACGTGGGCTCTGGATTGCTGGCAAATTCAAATCCCAGTGGCCTCACTTACACGTCTTGTGTTCTTAGATTCTTTGCCAAAGTTTCCACATCTGTAAAATGGGGGAGAAGGGTATTTGTCTCATAGCATTGTTGCAAGGAGTAAATTAAACATAAAGCCTAGAGCAGAGGTTCTGGAACGCAGGATGTACATAGCACATATCAGTTTCATTTTAGACTGCATCTGGGAAACTCACTGGGTCTTTGAAAATGGTGGCTCAGTGTCCAGCAGCTTCCTCTCCCCTGCGGCTTCCTCTTCCCTGTGGGTTCCTCTCCCCTGCGGGTTTCTCCCCCCTGCAGCTTCTTCTCCATCCTGCAGCTTCCTCTCCCCTGTGGCTTCCTCTCCCCCGCACCTTCCTCTCCCCTGCATCTTCCTCTCCCCTGCAGCTTTCCCTCTCCCCTGCAGCTTTCCCTCTCCCCTGCAGTTCTCCAAAGTAGAGCTGGGCCTCATTAAACTAGCTCCCTTCAAGTCCCCACCTGGAGCACTCGGCTTAGCATTTAAATAGGTCTGCCTGGTGAGCTTCTGTTTCTCATTGAGACTTAGAAAGCATCTGTCACTGATAATGTTTATCTTCAGAGTCTTGGTGGTGCAGTGGTTAAAGCACTCGAATGCCTACTGAGAGGTCAGTGGTTCGACCCTACCAGCTGCTGTGCAGGAAAAAGATGTGGCAGTCTGCTTCTGTAAAGATTTACAGTCTTGGACAGTTCCACTCTATCCTAGAGGGTCACTATGAGTTGGAATGGACACTACTGCAGCAGGTTAATGTTTATCTTTCAGGCTTAGAATCTTTTGTTTTCCAGGCTTTGGGATATATGGTCAGAGAATGACCAGTTAAAGACTTGATGGTAGGGCCTGTGAGCAGGAGTTGAAATTGTTGTTTTCTGATAATGTGTGTCTATACAACAGCTTAAAGTCAAGAGTGGACATGTGCACACACATACACCCACACACACACCCCCCCTCCTCACCACTTCAAGCTATTCTAACAGTTTGCTTTCAAAGGCCACAGGATCTGAAGATTCCATAGTGAGTCACGGCTTTTGCATTTGTTCTACAGGAATACACTGTGAGCTGTACAAGGATCCCTGTGCGAACGTCAGCTGTCTGAATGGAGGCACGTGTGATGGCGAAGGTCTCAATGGCACGTGCGTGTGTGCACCGGGGTTTGCAGGCAAGTGATGCATGAGCTGAACCTTGTTTCCCACAAGATCCCCAAGATTGCAGAGGTTAAAAAAAAACCAACTCTTGTGCATGCATTATTGCAGAATACAAATACCATCACAAAATGCAATTACCAATTGTTTGGGTGAGAATCCATTTTAAAACAATTGCCTGTGTTCTCATGCAGTTAGGCTTTTCCAGAGTTAGCATTTGCTATTTGGACTTGCAGAGACAAACACTTCCAGAGCTGGAGCTCGGGAGCCTGATAAAGGTGCCATGACACTAACACCTGAAAAAGTTTAAGTGTTAACAAAAATAATAATAAGAAGGGAAAGATCAAATGTGCTTTATATAGAAATGGCATTCAGCTACCACATTTATTGTATCAAAAGACATAACAGTGATAGGATTTTGGAAAGCGAAGAGGCTTGGTGGTGGTGGGAGGGAAGGGGGGACTCCATACGTGCTCAGTTTATTGTTAGTAAAGGTTCTGATGTTGTGACGTTAGTTGCCGTCAAGTTGACTTTGACTAATGGCCACTTTATGCATAAGAACCAAGCGGTGCCTGGTCCCGTGCCATCTTCATGAGCGTTGATAGCTTGGGTCCACTGTTGCAGCCACTGTGTATGTTGAGTGTCTTCCAATCTGAGGGCTCGTCTTCCAGCACTGTATCGGACTGTTCTGTCCTGACCCAGAGGGTTTTCACTGGCAAGTTTGGGAGTAGATCACCAGGCCCTTCTACCTATCGTCTCCTAGGCTGGAAGCTCCACTGAAACCCGTCCACCATGAGTAACCTTGCTGGTGTTTGAAACCCAGTGGGCATAACTTCCAGCATCATAACAACATCCCACCGCAGTATCACAAATGGACAGATGTGTGGTGGGCAGATGCTATAGGGGAGTTGAGAATACGAGGGGTGGGAGAACTGCCCCCAGAGCAAAGCAGGCTGGGAGGACAGGGGCTGACTCAGCCAATCCTGTGTAGTCTCTAGGGAAGACTTGGTGGGCAACCACAACGTGGAGGGGGAAGACTCACTTCTAGACAAGGAGACTCCAGTCTCAGCAAGCTTCACCTGAGGCCTTTTCCTAAGTCAGCCCACATGGGCTTGAGGGAGTTTGAGTCCCTGAACACAGATTAAATGTTGTACCATGTGTACATGCTGAAAGGAGATGCTAAAACTTTGATCAGATTCTCAGAAGGATCTATGAACCAGTGGGGGAGAAATGTCTGTTGTCAACAGAACCCAGTTGAAAAACCAGTTGCCATTGAGTCAGTTCTGATTCATGGTGGCCTCATGTGTGTCAGAGTAGAATTGTGCTCCATAGTGTTTTCAGTGGCTGATACTTTGGCAGTAGATCACCAGGCCTTTCTTCTGAGACATGGCTGGGTGGATTCAAACCTTCAACCTTTTGGTTAGCAGTCGAGTGCCTAAATCATTTGTACTACCACCTGGACTCTCAACAGAACCCAAAACCAGAAAACCAAACTCACTGCTATTGAGTGGACACTGACTCATAGCCACCTCCATTGGGTTTCCATGGGTATAAATCTTAAAGGAAGCAGACCACCTTATCTTTCTTCCATGGAGCAGCTGGTGGGTTTGAACCACTGATCTTTGATTAGCAGCCAAATGCCTTATCAGACCTCTTTCATCAGAACCCAAGAGTTCTGAAATTGAGAGCGCAGGGCAAAGTCCACGTCTTTAGAGCTTTCCTCAACCAACCAAAGAATAAGGGTCCTTGGGCTTGCATGTTGGCGAAGGCTGATACAGAAGGTGTCCACAGAAGATGTGGGTACTCACACCACAGGAAAATATGTGGGACCGTGGCTGAAGAGCACACCTCTGAAGCCCCTCATTCCCTGCTAAGCCATTGTGGGCACCTCAGCTACTGCTCCGCCCAACCCCAGGAATGTCCCCATCACTGGGGAGCCCCATTTGTGGCCCGGGGGAACATGCCATCAGTTAAGATGTGGGAGAGGGAGCTTCTTTCTTCTCCCAGGTCTCTTCCCCTCCTCGTCCTGTTTATCCCTGTTACGCCCTGTTACCAGGGTTTCCCTGGGGCTGAGAAGTGGACTCAGTCCAGAAAACGGTTGCGTCTTGCTTGAAAACTTATAGACACACACACACACAGATATGAATCAATGAGTGTGAAAGAACTTTGGGGAAGTACCCTGGTGTTCCCACCTCTCAAGACATTTTCATCCCATGGCATGGAAGAAAGCTTAGTAAATATGTAATAAGAAGGGACAAAATCCACTACACAAAACCACACTCCTCAGAGAAAGCCGTTGTGAATATTTTGACAACATATGCCCAGGGAAATTCCTGTAGGTCTGTGTGTGCACAGCAGATAGTGCATATTGTATGTGCTTATATAATATATTTAACAAAACAGGACTCATACTACCCATATGATTTTTTAACCCTCTTTTGACTTGCAAATATGTGTTTCCACATCAAGAAATAATACATCTTTGTCATGATTGTTACTGGCTGCTCTGTGTATTCACTGTATGAAATACCATGATCTCTTTAACCCATTCCCGATTCACCTTTGGGGAGTTCAGAACTTTCCCCATTATGAACAGCATTGCAACTACCATTCTTTTGTGTTTGTTTCCAGCTTCTTCTAGTATGGACATCTTTGTGTCCTTCTCTGAGTCCTTCCTTGGGATAACTTCCCAGGAATGGAATCCCAGGATCCAAGAGGATACATGCGTATTTCCATACTGAGCTCTGGCTAAGAGCTTTTCCCAGTCTTCACACTCACCAAGCGTGCACAAGAAAGCCTGTTTGCTCATCGCGTCACAAGCAGTGAGAATTGTCATCCTGGTGGCCAGACATCCCTCCCATTTTAGTGTGCTTTAATTTGAATTCTGGTGAGGTCTTTGAGTACTAGTGAGGTCTTTGAGTACTAGCATACCTTTTAAATGTGTTTTCCTGTGGTCGTTTGTCTTCTTTTCAGAACTGCCGATCCATATCCCTGGTCTACTCCCCTTCCAGGTCATTCACGTTAATCTTTATTCTTCTTGACTGAAATAGCCATTTTTCTGCCATAGGTCGCAAAGATCTGCTCACTGCCATTTAACTTTCCAATGTCTTTGAAGTGTTTTGTTTTCCATGGGAAAAAAAAAAAAAAACACCTCACTCCTGTCGAGTCAGATCTGACTCAGAGCAACCCCTCCTTGGGTTTCTGAGACGGTGTCACTATAGAAGTAGATTGCCCAGTCTTCCTTCCAAGGAGTAGCTGGTGGGTTTGAACCACCAGCCTTCTGATTAGAAGTCAAATGCCTTAGGCATTACACCACCAGAGTGCCCACACATTTTGATTTAATACCATTAAATATTCAGCTTTTCTATTCTTTTCCTGTTGTTTTATGCTACAAAGGGATCTTGCATTTCAAGATTATATAAATATCCTCCAATATTTTTCTAATAATGACTGGTTTCATTTTGTACACTTGATCTTTAATTCATTTATTTTATTTTATTTTTTATGTCTGTGGGAGGAGGAAAAGGAGCTCTGGTTAAAGCTGAGCTGTGGTGCTGTGGTTAAAGCATTGGGCTGCTAACCAAAAGGCTGGCAGTTTGAACCCATGAGCCACTCCATGGGAGAAAGATGAGGCAGTCTGCTTCCTTAAAGACTGAGACAGCCTTGGAAACCCTGTGCGGCAGTTCCACTCTGTCCACTGGGAGTACTGTGAGTTGGAATTGGCTCAGTGGCTGTGAGTTTAGATATTTGGTTTTGGGGAGGAGGAAATGCAGTCTTCTCTCTACAAGATTTAGCAGCGCTTCAACTGCTAATTCACCATTTTCTCTTGGGTGTCTCAAAGACACCTCATGCTCATTAGAGTTTCTCATCCTTTCCTTCTGTTAATATTTACAGTAGTTAAAGCATTCCATTGCTAACCAAAAGGTTAGCAGTCCAAACCCACTAGCTGCTATGTGGGAGAAAGGAGAGGTAGTCTGCTTCCATAAAGACTACAGCCTTGGAAATCCTATGGGACAGTTCTGCTCTGTCCTATGAGGTCTCTGTAAGTCGAGATTGACTCAATGACAGCCAACAGCAACAGCATCCATCACCCCAAGTTGTTCTGGATAGAAACTGAGTCATTGTGACACCCTCGTCTTCTTCACCCTTACCTGCACTCAGCTGCCAAGGTCTCCTAAACAGCTCCGAGCACCTCTCAGCTCCTTCCAGAGCCAGCACCGGTGCCTTCACTGTCTGCCCCAGAGCGGGTCCTTCTAACTGGATCTTCACACCCATTCCTCCTTGTTCCTAATCCATTCTCCCCATAGTAGCAACCTTATGAAATGGAAATTGAATCTTGTCACTCCCTGCTTAACAGCTCCTATTGGCATTTCATGGTCCTTAAGAAACAGGTCAAAACCCTTAACTTGGACTTCAAGATTCAGGGAGTCTTGGCCCCGGCAGCCTTCGCAGCCTTGTCCTGGACCCCTCTGCCTGTTGAATCCATGCATACACCATCACAGGCTCGTCTTGGAAAGTTTTTTCCCTCTATCTCCTGCTTTCCAGTACCACCATCTCCCAGCCTACCCTGTTCCTGTTCCCTGGCAACTTAAGCCCACCCGTATGCGTTTCTTTTCAGTACTCACCCCCACCCAACACTCTGCACAGTATGCCTCTTTCACTGCAGTAGGTTCAAATGTCATCCTTACTGATCTGTGAATTTCTGTCCAATCCTGCTAAGTTTTCATGTTGCGGAGAACCATAGAATATTTCCTAAGGGTGTGAGGCGAGCAGTACTGTTGAGAACAATGACCCCATAAGATGTTCTGTGGGAAAAGAATTCTGTGGCTGAATAAATTAGCGACATGGTAGCCACCATGTGGAGACTCATAAGGGATGTCAGCATGTTAATGGTTTTGAGAGGATTTACAGTAAAGGAGCTTGTTTGCTTTTGCTAATTTCCCAAATATATTTGATTCTCTTTCCCTTAAAAAATCACCTTTTGTATCCTGAGAACTAGTGTTCCGTAAGAAAGGGT